AACTGAGCCCCGAGTGAGCGTCCTCCCTTCGAAGCAGAACGGAACTGCCCGGAGCGCTCGCAGCGCCCCGTCAGCCACCACCTCAGCTACGCGCTCCCAGTGGGTCTTTCATATTGCAGCGCACTGTACATGTCCCAAGTATGGTGCAGTAACGTGTTTTAAAAACTTCGTGATTTTAATTTGCATGTAATTATTATCACAGCTATTGCTATCTTTAGCCTTATAAACATATTGAAAACAACTTCCGTGTTTGCTAGAAAAAATGCTGTCATCGATAAGGTGAGCATATGAGTACCGTATTTCCTCGAGTAATACCCGCCATATCTAAGAACAAGGCCCTTTCGTCTACTTTACCACAGAACACATATACAGCCAATCATCCCGTTGCGCATAAATGCCATAGCGAAAACTAAATCGAGAGCACGATTCTCCATACAAATGCAATCTTCACAGATTGTATCTTCGCGCGAAGACGTTATCTTTGTACTGTAAACCGCTGGAATCATGCTGTCGATCGCGGTGATTGGTTATCCGCGTGCTCCGCGGAAAAGCGAACCCTCAGGTTTTCTTCATAAGCAGTGACTCTATTGCTCGGGTAAACAGAGTAAAGGCTATAAATATGAGCCTGAGATAGACACTCACTTTACAAAACGGTTTTTGTGGTGTTTCGATAAACAGGCTACATGCAGTTTTCTTTGTTGTTTATACTTACCTCATATATTTTCTTTTAAAATAGTCAAGAAATTCATTAATATTTTCCACCTAAAATTGGAGCGTTTTTGATCGGCATGATAACTGTATTCTTCTTATAGATATAGCTTTTTTTTTTTAAACCGGCAGTTTATTTCGAATTTCCTTAAAGATAATCAGTTTAATTGGATCGCTTGAAGCCCAAAATTTCCTATATACGGGTGCTCTTGGCGTCTTTTCTGCATCATTTTAATATGTACTGCCCAAGGGTATAGAATTTTCTGGAAACAGCAACTTTAATGTTTCGGGACTGTCGTAGCGCGTTTTAGATACTTTTTTACTTGATTATGTGCATCTCATCACCATTTAACTGACAGTGTATTTCGACCCAAAAATAGTTCTCAACAGCATTTCGTGATGCATTATTGTTATAATTTGCACTATTTTGAAAGGTGAACGTTTTTATTAGCAGGTTTATTTGTGGCTGTAGGGTGTGTCGAAGACAGTTCGAGCAATGATGGTCAAGGTGATATTTTTAGTATTTACTAAAAATATATACATATTAATGACCTGCTCTTGGTAGGTACCCCAGCACTAGCTCGTTCGTTCCACACAGTAATGTGAGCGTTTGCTTTTTATATGTAACACTTTTATAAAATATGCATATTTCATCTTTTGTTGTCGTCGATTGTTTTGTAGCATATCTGTACGAACATGTTCGAGCCGGTTTGGACCTTTCTTTTTTCACTCCGGAGTTGAACCGGAGCTGAACCGTTTTTTTCTGAACCCGAACGAAAACCGGACTGAAAAACATCTAGGTTCGACACCTTGGTTTGTCGTGACATAGTGTTGAGCATCAAGATTGACTATCCAGATACTTCTTCCCTAGCCTTGCTCTCGTGGTGATAGACCTTCCTCGTGTGAGGGCTTTGGGCTTCACGGTAATGTGCTGTGCATACAGTCAGTCCTCCACTGCTGGAAGTAGTGACGTCCGCCTACATTCCTTCGTGGACAAACGGCCCGGGGAAAGGGGGGGGGGGAGGCTTATAGGCAAGGCAAGGAAGCACAAACATAAAACTAATCTGGGGAATGCATGACTTACTATACCCCTTAATAGAGAAGCACCGCCGTACAGCCTTTGTCAGTTGTAGAAAAATCTCTATTGGAGCCGACGTCGTACGGCAAAGCCCCTAAACGAAGACAATCTAGCTTAATTTGAGTGAAGATTTGTTGTCGTTTTTTTTTTTAAAGGTCATATTTCAGTGAGTGCTTTGCCTTCTCAAATTCAAGTACTATAAACGGTTAAGGAAAGTTTAAAGAAAATAAGTCTCTTTTTTTTTAAATACTCACGTGCAATTTGGCAACATTTCGAGAAATGAGCTGCATTTCTGCAATATTCTCAAAACTAAAATAATGGTTGCTTATTTTTGTTATATATTCAGACAATGCATTGAAAGAAAATATATGATGGGTCGTTTCATGAAGTAGTTTATTGGTAAAGAATGTGTGACTGTGTCTCTAAAACGTGTTAATTTGACATGTTTCTTCTTACCTTTTTGAATAGATGGTATATCTTTTATTGTACACTTTAATATTCTCTGTACATGTTGTAAACCTTTTAAAAAAATAAAATTAAAAGATTCCTACGTGCATGCTTCGGTGTGAAATTGGTGAAATTGACGGCTGCGAAAACTACCATAGCGAAACCTTGGCAATTTCCACAATGCTAAAGCTTCGAAGTTTTATACCTCTTGTAGAGGTCGCTTGAGTATTTGATCGTTTCCTGGAAAGTAAGGTGGTCGACCTTCAAAAAGTTCGGATGGGAGCACCCCGACGGCTCGCCCCGAGGATAGAGGGATGAGCAGCTTGAGCCCTTCTTAATCTTTGGCCCGGGAAGGACACAGACATTCTTGCCTGTCGCCGCAAGGTGGTGGCGCCCTTCCCGGCTTTGTCGTTACGGCGCGTTCCCAGTGACGGCTTGTCCAGTCAGGAGACTGCGACAATGGGGTTTTAGCGATGAGGGGCGCCGGCTTGGGTCAACTTGGACTCCATTCCGCTTTACTCGCTAACTTCGAAGGACACGGCGCTAATTTGTTTTGACACCGTGAAGGGGGGGGGGGGGGGTGTTTTCCCCGTAAAGTAGTAAAGTATCGCCCCGATTGCAGAGTTCCCCAAGGCGTTTAGCATTGTTTTTCTTCTTAGAAAAGGGAAAGAAAGAGTTCTGTGGCTTCCCTGTGATTGGGGGAGGACCCGCTGGCACGGGGGCCAATAGAATTGTATAATTGTCCTGATTGGACAGGCCCTGTGTCAGCGTGGAGTTTTCTCGACCGCGCTGGCGAGAAAACGTTGAGTTTGAACAAGCCCGTGCGCGGAGCAAGTTATCTCCGGGGTCGGCCGGTCCGCGTAGCTTTGTCGCGAGCGACGAGCAATTTCTTTGAGCCCCAACCGTGCGCGGTGGGCACTTTGCGCCGAGGCGCGTTTTTTGTATTTCTACTGCCGTGAGCCGTGAGTTTGCTGTCATCGTCTTAATGCATTAATTTTTATCAATCGTTCCTCTCGACCTTGAGAGTCTTTCCTCGAGGCTCCGCCCCCACCAACGAGCACCGAAGCGACCATCCAGCGCGGCAGTCCACGATCGCCCGGCCCCGACTTACAACTTCTAGGAAGGACCGGGACAAAACAACCTGACCCTCAGGGAGGGGCATTCTTTACTCCTCTGTAAGAAACTTATACGATGTCCGGATATAGCTTAATGCTCCTCCCAAGAACATGGCTTTGATATATATATATATATATATATATATATATATATATATATATATATATATATATATATATTACATTAATACAAAAAATATACCCCGACCATGATTCCAAAATGTCACGCGGAACACCTTTACTTTAAAAAAAAACAATATTGGACTGCGATCGCTAATTTCACACGTGACTGCTCCAGCATTATTAACCTCTGTGTTGTTATTTGTGATAAAGAGTGATGGTATTTTGTGTTTAATTTCTGAAAATTATTGAACTTAATTTCTGAGGAGTAATTAATTACCTAATTATGGTGAACGCTGATAACTTTAATTGTGAACCCTTTGGCGCAGACCACTATGGTATCAACCATCTTTGTTGCCGAAAGGGAATTGTTTTTCCAGGAGCGATTTGATCCGCGTTTCCAAATCACCCGGTATATAGTATATGTGTATATGGCATAATTTTGCTTATCTAATCAGGGATGGGCAAAATACATTCAAATATGTATCGAAATACAAATACAAAGTACTTCGTCAAATATCTATTTAATTACAAATCTAATTACATTTCCAAAAAAGCATTTAAGTACAAGATACAAGTACAACCAAATGTATTTGGTCTCCCTCCAAATACTTTTCCAAATACATTCCTCAAACTTTGCGTCAGCGACTTCAGGGCACCTGCAACGGGTTTCTGGGTATCTCATTTTAATTTTGCTTCGCACACTTGGGAGTTAGTGTGCAAGGCTCTAGTAACGTAATAGAAATATAATCACAAAAAATTAATCAGCTTGGACCTAATAGGTAAAAGAAGTACAGAGCTTGAAGCAGCTTCTTTTGTCAATTACATTTCGGTATAGACCAACCAAGAACCGGGACGATCAAGACGCGCAGCACTAGCTAGAGAATTTTTTATTGTGGGAACTTGCACTGGTTACGAAAATCTGGACGACTCGCGCATTTAGAATGTTCCAGGCAAAAATATGGATGGAAATCAGGCTGGAAAGCATGACAAGTTGTCACAGGCACTTATTTAGCCAGTCTGCCTGTGAACGTCGATTTCGTCACTATCCTTGCCCTGGACTAGCACCGTAATCACAAAGTCACTAAACGCTTGTGCTTGATTGAGAGACACTGCATTCGGTGCACAACGTAGTTTTCTTTCTGCTCTGGACAATGACAATAAATTTGAGGGATGCATTTTCGCCCACAAAATTGTATTTAATTACAATTGTATTTGAAATAATCACGTTTTAGTATTGAAATACAGACGTCAAATGCATTACCCAATCTGTAATTAAATACAAGTGCAAAATACACAAAGTATTTGAAATACGTATTTCAAATACTTGTATTTGAAATACTGCCCATATCTGTCTAAATTGTTATTATATTTTTTCCTAGATGAATCATTTATTTGACGTTAAGGTATCTAATTATTATTTCTTCACTCATATTAAATCGCAACAAGAGCCATATATCTAGCCATTTTGTAGACCGCTGGCCTATATCAGGAAGGTATTTCGGGTTCAAATAGATACAAAGGTGAACTACCTCTGATATATCTACAGGAGTTCCCTCCAGCGCTGTGCTTGCTGCAGTTGCAGTGATGGCTAGAAAGAGACCAAAGCAACTCAACAGAAGTGAGCGCGCTCCGCACTGTATACAAAGGGGCATCATTCTTGTTTTCACCGCGAGGCTTGTCCGTCCGAGGGTCTCGAATCTGTAGAACACAATTCAACGTAAACGAAATAATTTAAGGTGGAGACCGGAATATTGTTATATGGTCACTACTTTTAATTGGAAGAGAATAATTTTGAAAAAAAAAAAAAAGCAACACTGTCGATCACTTTGTGAACACAAAAAGTCAAGGTGTCAGTTATAAAAAAACAAATGCATTTTTTTTTAAATTATAATAATCTTCCTGGAATTTTGATACACTAATAGTAACCTTGTAAATTTGTCCCGAACGACGTGTCGTGTGTAAATAAGTTTGTTTGTTTTTTTCTCGAGGGGCACTGGTAATTTCTGTATAGTTTCCTATTATTGAAATTGGTAAGATAGTCTTGACACTGGCTTCTACAGTAACGACATATAACAAAAACGGTAATTTACTTCAGGTCGTTATCTTACAAAATTACTCGAAACCAGTTGCGATAATGAAATATGTTCCCGAAAATGATGATGATAAATGTAAGTTAAGTGACATGGGAAATAAAGCCCATAGTGTGTGAAACGCAATTTTCTCGAGAAGCCTTTACGGTTTTTAGAAGTAGTTCAACGTTACAGCTCCTGCAACGATTCAATTTGTTAGATAGTAATATTACATTGAAATTAGACATTAAAGTGATATTTACAAATACTGCTATAACAGGTATACAAATCGAAGGATACCTGAAGGGATCATGCGCGACGTTTTTATGTTTGAATACTCTAGCGTTTTACGTGATTTCGCTCGTATACATTCCCGTCTGTTGTATTGCTCAAAAGTGTGCTTGGTAGAAGAGCGTGTTGGTTTAAGTCATGGATGAAGAAAGAATAAACAATTAAAACAGGGATAACACAACCACATCTTTCACTGAAAGATGTGGTTGTGTTGTCCCTGTTTTAATTGTTTATTCTTTCTTCATCCATGTGAAAAGTGTGTTATCAATGAAATATATAGTCTTCTTGCATTTTATAATGTAATGATTTACACTACTGGTGGCCTCTTTAGGTTTATTTTTTTCCCCTTTAAGTTTTGTTATGCGTTGTGTTGTATCTTCCCTTGGTACACATACATACAACGTTACTAGAACACTCAGTTGGGAAACTCCCATAGAGACGCTTTGAAAAAACGGTAATTTACTTCAGGTCGTTATGGCCCCAATCTGTCTCCGAGCACCGAGCTAATGACTAACACAACGCCACCATATCTCCCGCAGCGGCCACTCGAGGAACTGCACGTGACTTCTATTTCGGCTTTAAAACAGATACAGGGGTAGAGGTTACAGGGGTGCCACCCCCGTCTCCCCGGCGGACGTGCCGCGTTCAACTACCGAAGGTAAAATGCACCTAGGGCGGGACGCGCTACCTGAAAGGCCGGCTGAGGCATGGTTGTATAAAAACAATATTAATTGTGCCGCAAAACCCTGCAAACTAGAGATTTTAGAAGCATAACGCGCCCCTCTTTTCGTACTAAACTCCAATAAGTTTCATACAAAAAGAGTCTTTTTTGTTTGTTTTTACGCAAAAACAGGCTTTCAAAAAGCTCAAGGTGACCACAGTACAGACAAATGATAAAGAGTGGCGCTGTTGTCGCATTTAGCTCGGTCTCGGTGGACCCGACTGAGTGTTTTAGTAACGTTGCATACATATTACGCGTGTTGACCTCGGCCTCAATAGACCCTTTCTGAAAGTCAGTCTACCCACCTTGTGCAGAGCCAGACCCGACGCTCTAATGGCGGAACTACACCGTTTCTCCACACCAGAAAAATTGAACGTCTTCGAAAGCATAGAGCAGCAAAAGGAAAAGATGTTGGCCGTTTCACGTCATCTTCGATACACGAAATCGAGGGTGCTTGATTTAGTCGCGCTTGATCTCCTATCACCGCCATTAGAGCGGCAATATTGGAGCTTTCTGGACTGCCACAAGAGGACTCTGACTTTTGAAAAGGGTCTATTGTTTTAGCTCCGTTTAATATTGTCGTTTAAACAGGCATGCGTATAGTGCTGTGCTGCTTTAAACTTAATGTGGCTTGTGCCTTCCTCCCCCACCAAAAAAAAAAAAAAAACGAAAACATTAGTCAGAAACTATGTAATATTTTTTTCCCTTTAATGCCTTAATCTATTACTCATTTCTTATCCGAGCAATCTGTCAAACGTCGACTCATCAATGGGTTTGGCATGGACATAAATTTTGTGGCTGTCAAACTCGACATAAATAATTTCATCACTAGCGAAACTTCAGCTTCCACAGAGTATCACGCTTTCTCGTTACACACGAGCGAACTTCGTTTTCACAGATGGATACAAATGTGCAAAACCTAGGTTCATGTAGCGTCAAAAAGCCGTTTCCTGATGCAGAATATTTTTTATTCGCTTTGCGTTTCGTTTGCCACGTCGATGCTGCTATTATATGAAAAAGTGAAAATCATTATGCACTGTGTTGCTTGTTGCTTATATTGACTAATATTGGAATTAAAAAAGCATTTCTAAGTAAATAACATACGCATCATACTTTTAAATGACTTAAGTTGTACTCAGCAGCTGGAGGCTTGTTACATTCCTTTTCTTCCTTACTTACTTCTGTATCCGCCAGGGGTATTGATGTGTGCCGAACCAATTTATGTGAAAAAAATTTACTTTTTTTAAATGTCTCTCAGCTTTATCGCTAAAGCTTTAAAACTTAGTGTTGGAAGTAGCGCGGTTCAAGTTACAAGGTTACTAGAAGCCCGTTACTCTTTAGTAACAGTCTAACGCCCCCAATCGATCTCTAATTTACTAACAAGTAAAGCGTTTTGTTACTATTGTGCGTTATTGCTTATAAATATATGTTACATGTTAATTTTGATTAATATTTGTCTTTGTAACAGCCGAAAAGCCAGTTAACTCGCATCTTGTAAAGTCATGTCATAAATGCACTGGCCTCTCACGGTAAGAGACGTCCTTCCGGAACACGACAATCCGTCACCGCTTGAAAGTTTTAACAGTGCCCCAGCTTAGCCTACACGAAGGATCCGTCGGGAAGCAAAAGCATCGGCCATCGGTTTGGAAGCCGAGTCTCTCAGTGAAGTTTTTACTGATTAGTCCTTTTCCGTCCTTACGGGCTTCTGATTTGACAAGGAACTGTGACAACTCGTGCGTTTTATTAAAACATAAAGTAAGCTTTTTAGTCCTATTGTCGCACGTATATGTCACTGAATTTTTTGCAATACAAAGCAAAACTGATCCAATCAGAATAGCAAGAAGACTATATACTACAAAGTTGATTATAAAACAACACACTACAAAACCACTTCGTAAAAGTTGAGCTGATGTCGAAGTTCATATCTATGGCTTATAACTGCAAAAAAATACTGAAACTTTAGGTATTGCAAAAGTAATGTCCGCTAGGTTTCGCAAGTAACGATAGCGGTTTTTGGTTACCTTTCCAGGGCAGTAACTTACGTAGCACAGTATTTGGGCCGCAATAGGGTTCTTGTCTGGGAATTTGGGACCCTATGAAACCAAAAACTACGGTACAGTAAAACTCTGACCTTTTTAACTCATATTCTGTGTACCTTGAGCCTAGTTTGCAAAAAAAAATACAAAAGTTGGCTTTACAGCTGGTACTTTGGCTGCATATGTCATATTTGTGTCTAAATTGCCAAACAAGTTCCAGAGTTAGCTAGGCTACACATCTTGTTCGGTTGTGGTGTGGCAAATTTGGGCATAAATGACCGAACACGTGCCAGATTTAGGCTTCGCTGCTGTTTTTGTTTTTGGCTCACACATGGCATCTTTTTATGGTTCAAGTCTGGCACTTGGGCAATTATGCGAGGAGCTAGAGAAAAGCCTTTAAACTCAAAAGAAAAGCACTTTGGCACTAACTAGTGATTTGAGGCAAAACTCTATTAGCCCAAGTCAGGCCCCTAGGATTGCCAAGCTTGTGTCAGTCTAGACGTTTCCCTGGCACGCTACCTGGGAATGAATTTCAGTAACGCGATATTTTTTTTACCAACTAATGAGTAGCGCAATTTAGTTACTAAATATTTTAGTGACTGGCACAACACTGTAAGAACCACATCAATTGCAATCATCAAAAGTGAAATGTTATTCCTATAATTTTGCAATGCTTTACCAATTCCATCACCTTCCACATTAGACAAATTAATTGATACGCTATCCGATTATAGGTCTCCGATTAACTGGTAAAAATGTTTTATGGACGAAAGGGTTACACAAATATTGTTTGTTACCGCTTCCTGTTCAATTTCGTTCTTATTGATTGTGTGCCGATTTTACATACTTTTAGGTGTAAGATTTCTTTACATTCGTATTTGACACGACCTGCCATAACTTGGAAAGTATGTTTAAACCCCGATAGCGTGGGCTTATCTGTGGTTCAGAAATATTTAACCAAAAAACTAGAACAATCACCTTTGGTTGAACTGTTGAAGGACAAGCACCAGCGATGGTAGGGAATCCGGCTCAGTATTCTTTCGTTGTATTTTGTTTTAAGTTTTCCTCTGGGTTTAAAAAAAAAGGAAGCGAGTATTAGGCGCACTTCTCTGGTGCGTACACGTTTTAACTATTCTTTTTTTTTTCTTTTTTTTTCACTCGCGCGTCGACGGCAGCGCCGCCCGCTCCACTCCAAATAGCCTTTCTATGTATACGGTTTCAACTTGAGTAATGGCGCAACCAAAGGCTAAACGTCACGCAAACACATACACAGAGACTAAAAGTACGATATTCCTGTGTAAGAAAAGAAAAAGTGAAATCCGTTTACCACTCCCTGTAACGCCGATTTGGAGCGCAGCTCTTGAGGAGGAGGAGGGAAGTGTACTGAGGGCCACGGTTTCTCGGGGGTCACGTGACATAGGGGAAAGGGTCACACATGACCCCCCCCCCCCGAGGGCACGTGACCTTGTTGGGGTCACGTGACCTCAGGGGAGGGGGTCCACGTGGAGGGGGAGTCACGTGCCCCCCGAGGTCACGTG